TGTTGGCGTCAACCAGAGAGTAAGAGGGATAATTATATTTAAGAGAGCATATTTTGCATTTACAACCATTGTGTATTACGTGCTGCTCTGTTTTCGCAGGGGAAGGCATAAAGGTCATGGCCTCCATTCAGAACAGATCATCTCGTGAAATCAAGCCCAAATTCTGTTTGTATAAGAAGTACAGTTACTTTGCAAAGGAGAAGAGGAGAGTTGAGACCAAAGACATCCTGAAGGAGGAGGGGGAAGTCATCTCGCCTTCTGCGGGCCAGACTGTCACCAGGATCATCACCATCCCTCCCACCACGCACGCGTCCATCTTAAACTGCAACATCATCAAGGCAGAGTACAGGCTCAAGGTGTGTATCTGTCCTCTCAAAACATGTCAGTTAAGTCTTTATGTCTATAGGGCTGCATGGTCGTTACGATAAATGCTGTCTGTTTGTCCACCACAGGTCTATCTGGATGTCAAATATGCTCGAGACCCCGTGATCAAGTTCCCCATAGTCATCCTGCCGGCTTTACAGGAGCCTGATAATGAGGAGCATCCGTCTGCTTTTACATCATCCATGTTTGGTTAATTGCTGTTATCCAGGTGGCAACAATGATGACGTGGTATTAGTATTTAGGATGATGATAAGAACAGTAAGAGAGGAGAGGAGGGAGCTGATCAGCTGCTGTATCACTGGGATGACTTGATGGCCAGTAAATACCTCTCTTCCCCTGATCTCATGGTGCTGTGTGCAATAATAAGGAATACTGAAATTGTGTAAATAAAGTCGTACACAATATGGCTGTGCTTGCTTCTTTTAAATGAACTATAAATAAACAATAAAAACTCTTATTCCAGAGACTATATAGTACCACATAGAGAAAAATGTTAAAGTTAAAGTTTTAATTTTTTCATCATTTCCTCTGTCGGTCTGTTACAACTAAAACTATTATAACTTTGTAATGGATTTGTAGATATAGAATCTAACCTTTTGAGCAACTGCTATATCCCAACTGGCCACCAACTTTGTTAGATGTTGATATTTGGTTGATTTAAGTTGTGAGGTCAAAATTATCAGCGTCTAATGCCAACCTTAATTTGTAGAGTACTGAGTACAGGTGACGCTGATATTCTGCTGGTTTTAAGTTATGTTGTTAAGTAACCAAAATCCAGCATCTTCCAGACATCTCATGCAAACATCATCTTAACATAGAATAACAGCACTTGGTTGAAAGGTATGGAGTACAAAACCCAACTTCTGCAAAATATCAGAATGTTAAAATATTGTCAATGCGATTTTCATTCCAACCAGAATTTAATATCTGTCCAATGTAAGAGTCCAGCTTCTTTCTGACGTCATATTAACATCCGGTGCAGGCCGGGATGTAACTCAATACCATTAAAAAAAAAGAGTATTGGGGCACCCACTAGTTCACCTGGTAGAGCAGGCACCCCATGTACAAAGGCTGTGTCCTTGTCGCAGAGGACGCCGGCTCGATTCCAACTCACGGCCCTTTGCTGCATGTGATCCTCACACTTTCTCCCCCTTTCATGCTAAATCTGTGCTGTCTATAAAAAGCCCCAAGAATACCTTTAAAAAATAAAACAAAGAGTATCTGCAAAACAGGAGCTTATAAGTGAGAAGAAAGTGAATGAAAATGATGTACTAATGAGCCCCCCCTGTGGATCCTCAAACTACTCTCACTGATTATCATTATTGAATATTGTACCTGCATTAATAATCATTTATGACATAACGAATGACTCAAACCTTCAGTCACAAGATGCTGCCAAAGTATTGTTATCAATGCGCCTGATCATTTGGCGTGTGCACTTCCTTGACACTGGAAATACAACCTGCATGAGTCACTGATAGTGATCACACTTCATATTGTTTTTTTGTTTGTTTTTTTAAGTTTTTTCAGTTTACATAACATGACAGCAACAAAAACAGACAAGCGACAAGATAAAATCACACACAGAATAAACGGGGGGAGGGGGGACGGTACATGATACTCCGAGATAATGTCAGGGTAGAGAGTCACACAAACTCAACAAGTGATGAATGTAGAATAAATAAGATGCACAACAAGGTATAAATTCATATGTCTAGAAGGACAAAAAATAAATAAGTAGCCTACATTTGCATGCCCTCATTTCCTCATGAGGGAACATAATTCATATATGAAATAAATTACATAAATATACAGACTATCAATATCTAATTCAAAGTTTCATTTACAAGGTTAATTCTTTGCAATTGGAAAGAACGAAAGCCGACCTGTTTTTCAAAGGAGGTATGGCTCGAGGAATACTTAGACCTCCTTAACATGGAGAGAGCAGCCAGTTTTCTGAAAGATTTCGATAGGGGTCTTAGTGGACAATGGGATATTATTATGAGATATTTGAATTACACACTTCATATTGTAAGTTTCATTGACCTTAATGTTCAAAGTGGGCTGGAGGGTGTGGATTTCCCCCCCGATGATTTTTAAAGGGAGTCTTAACCTGTCAACTGATTACATATGAACAAGACAGCTCCAACATTTAAGGTGATAAAGATCATTCCTGTAGATAGTTGACTGAAGGAATTAGTGAAGGCAGAAACCTTCCACACCTTTATTGTGATTTGTTTGTGCAACAGATTACTCACTCTGCAAACATCAGTATGAGTGTGAATTTATAGATGTGTTATGCATAATAAATGTTTCCATAAGCTGTCATGAGGCATTATATAACAACGGTCATAAAACAGTGCAGGCATCATGTGACTTTACAAGGTCAAGTATCCCAGTGGCTCAACTCACTCTTCAATGAATGTCGTGGCTTTTATTCACCTATAGCCGCACCCCTTTCATTCCAACACAATAGTCCAATAAATCCAACCGTTACGAGGCTTATAATGTTCAAGCTTTGTTGGCAAAGTGTCAGAGAAATGTTGTTTGTAGTTTTTCATGTGACCAAAAGTAATTTAATTTCAATTCAATTAAACATTTCACTAGGATTTAAAGTGTTTTATTGAGGCTTGGGCAGTTAGTAGGTTCACTCAGCGCTGTAGATTGTCTTATCTTATGGGACTACATCTGCAGTTTTTTGGTGTGCAGCATCGTCAATGAACTGATAATAAACAGAGGTGCTCCACATGCAGTGTTTCACAAATTATTGACATTTTACTCAGATTTCACACGGGCTTTCTTGTGATTTAATTCTGTTACGTTTCGGTGACTACACCCTCATCAGACAAACAGTTTTGTAACAAAGAGAAGCCATCTTTAGTCGCATTACCCACGTGCCACGGAAGGGCTAAATACCAAACATCCATGAGTTTAACAATCAACATTATACATAGAAACTGAGGAATAAAGAAATAAAATAAAAAAAAAACTGCTTAATGACAATCTTAAACATACCCCAAAAGTTTCATTAGATAGGTACAATCTTGAAAATAAATGCTTAAGTCCTTATTATTAACTTAACACTAGATGAATACGCCTGTGAGCACCACTGTTAAAGATTCAAGACTGTCATCAGGTAAAGGTGTACAAGGACGTTGGAGTTCTTGCGCAGGTTCCTGTGTGCAGATTTGGTCACTGGTTGATCATGTGGATTATTAACTGCAGGTTTCTCAGCTATGATAGCTAACATCAGTGATGGTTGATTGATTATCTAACCACATAAAGAGCTGCAGTACACAGTAATAATAGCACCAGTAGTAATAATAATGGTCATTTCTCATTGAGTTTATTTGGGATTATGACTCCATTTACTAATGACAGGGGTGTGTGGTTGCCTGTCGTAGCATAGCAATTTGTTTTTCATTTATTTTATCAATATACTGGGGGGACATTTTATATGGATTAGCCTACTGTAGTTTTAATGTGCTGAAGAGGGAGCTGAGTCAGAAGGTGAAGCTTTCGATGTACTGGTCCATCTATGTCCCAGCCCTCACCAATGGTCATGAGCTCTGGGTAGTGACCCAAAGAATGAGATCACGGTTACAAGCTGCCAAAATGAGTTTCTTCCATGGGGTGGGTGGGCTCAGCCTTAGAGATAGAATAACGAGCTTAGACATCCGGAGGGAGCTCAGAGTAGAGCTGCTGCTTCTTCGTGTGGAAAGGCCTCCAGTTGGAGGTGTTCTGGGCACGTCCCACTGGTAGGAGGCCCCGGGGCAGACCCAGAACATGCTGGAGGGATTACGTATCTCACCTGGCCCAGAATACCTTGGAGTCCCCACAGGAGGAGCTGGAAAGCGTTGTTAGGGAGAGGAATGTCTGGGGTGTTTTACTTTGCCTGCTGCCCCTGTGACCCTGCCATGGATAAGTCAATGAAAATGGAATGGAATGATCTGTACGCGTGACATATATTGTACGTCTGTCCACCCTGAAGGATGGAGCCCTCCACAGTTGCGCTTCCTGAGGTTTCTACCAATTTATCACTGTAAAAGAGTTTTGTTGGAAAGAGTTTTTCCTTATCCACTGTGAAGAATGCTGTATGTTGTAAAGCCCTCTGAGGTAAATTGTGAATTGTGATATAGGACTCTATAAATAAAACTGAGTTGGGGCGTCGGTGGCTTAGTGGTAGAGCAGGCGTCCCATGTACAAGGCTGTTGCTGCAGTGGCCAGGGTTCAACTCCAGCCTGTGGCCCTTTGCTGCATGTCCTTCCTTCTCTCTCTCCCCCTTTCACACTTAAGCTGTCCTATCAATTAAAGGCTAAAATGCCCAAAAAATATCTTTATAAAAAATAAAACTGAGTTGAAACCCTACCCCTGCCCCTAAATATGGCTCTGTAATGAACTGGTAGGGCCATGGTGTGGCCTGACTAAATCGAATTAAAATCCCATAATTAACTTCATGAGATTTATATCTAACAGATGAGAGGTGCCAGACCATGATTCAGTTATTAAATGCGTGGATGAATAAATAAGTAGCGCTGGTGGTGGGTTGGAGAGAGGGGAGGAGAAGTTCCTCCGCACGATTGGGACACACCCACACGGAAGTCAGATGTGGTCTTTATTTTGTTTGCCTCACATTTCCTCGGGAATTCTCCGTGTGCGCCACTCACCATGTCGAGCACTGTGAAGAGCCTCAAAGTCACCTATAACCCCATCAATGAGAAAAACACTTTCACCAGTGGCGACACTGTCTCGGGTGAAGTCGCGCTGGAGGTGGCCAAAGACTGTGAGATAAACTCTCTGTTAATTAAATTCAAGGGGAAAGCAGAAGTCCTGTGGACCGAGCGCCACGGTCAGACCACTGTCGTGTACCACTCCAAGGATAAATACTTCAGCATCAAGCACTACTTTGTGCGAGACAAGGATCACAAAGGTAAGTGCGTAAATGACGCAACAAAAATTTGATGAATGTTTCTGCTGTGTTGCAGAAGTTTCAAAACAAAAGCGAACAAAACAGAGTGAATGTTCAGATGCGAGTCTGCAGAAGTTGTTTGGGACAGTGAAAAACATCCCAGGCAGACCCCCTCCCCCTCTGTGCGGAGTAATATAATTGTAGGCGGCACCCTGTTTACATATCTTTGCCCGAAAGAGTCTCATGGCGCAAACAGTAAATGTCTGGAAAAGACACAAACTGTTGATATGATAAGGTGAGATGCAGACAGAAGTAATGGATGGTGATATGTTTGCAGAAGTGCTCACAAAAATGTACAGAACTCAATGCTCTGTACATTTTGTACACACACACACACACACACACACACGCAGGCCTAACAAAAAAAGTACCTAATTTAGCTAAGATTTAAATCACTGTTAGCCGGGACTCATTATTTTGGAAAACAACACTGTGGAAACCCCAAACACAATATGATCATAGTGTCAAAGTATGACCCCGTTAAATGCTGATAAATGATTGGAGCTGAAATGATTAGTCAATCAATCGATTACTCAGCGGACAGGACATTCATAAGCATCATGGGTCAGCTGTTAAAGTCATTTACTCAGTGCAAAAACATCTCTGCCTCCAGCGTCTTACTTGTGAGGATTTGTGGCTTTTGTGTGTAATCTGAACCTCCCTGGGGTTAGATGTCGCCTTAGGTCAGGGGTCTGCAGCCTTTACCATTAAAAGAGCCATTTTTGGCCAAAACAAAATGAAAAAAAAAATCTGCCTGGAGCCGCAAAAAACATACAACCTTATAATACCTTATAATGAAGGTAACAGTTAGCCAGCAAATCTAAATAAGCATTCATTAATATGTTTTAACACAAAGCGGTTGCTCTGAAGTGGGCTTTTTATGGTTATTTAGTTCTTAAACTTTGCAATGTTGGTGGTGAAATCAATTTAACCCATTCACACACCAACAAATTCTCATTTTCCCCCTTTTTGGGATTAAGAATTCATAGCTAGCTTATCTAGGGAGACTCAAGACCAGCCACTGCTACTGAGGTTTGGCAAAATATAGAGGAAAAGGCGCCAGGTCGTAGAATGACGAAGCACATTTTAGTTGACGAAATGTTAAAACATTTTTTTATTCAGTGTATAGGCTACACATTTTTGCAATTGGAGAATTCAAGAATCACTTTTGGCCTACAACAGTGATCAGTGAAAATTAAAATCTTAAAAAATGACGTCATTCATTTCCATATCATTTTTTGAAGTCACATGGAGCCACTGCAGAGGGGCCAAAGAGTCAAATGTGGCCCCGGAGCCGCAGGTTGCCTACCCCTGCCTTAGGTTGACAGAAATTGTGATGGCCATTTGTTTTTTCACTATATTTTAACATTTATTTTAGACCAAATGTTTAATAGTTCACTTAACAAATGTTGTTTACATTTCTTTTCTGTCAATGCTTTCTTTAGAAGATGACAACGAAATACTGCTGACAACCATGAATGGAGACACACGTGAGTATATCACAGTTCTGGCTCAGTTGTGTTTTACTATACAGTTGTTATTTAAATCAAGAATAGCTTGATACAGGTTTGTAATGCAACAATTGTGTTTTATTTTAGCTTTTAATTGCTCGTCTACAGTATTTTATTGCTTCAGTGAGCTGAGAAGCCAAGGCCGCGTTGACCAACCACTCTGTTGTGCTATCACAAACTAAAAACAACCCACAATTCCATTAGCAAAGAGTTGCGGGTGTACATTTATTCTCTGCTGCCTACCAAGCTTGTGAAAACATTTCAAAGCTGTGTTGGTTTTCCAGCTCCTGTGTTTTTATTCTGTTATTACATCTGACCTGAGGCCTGTGCTACGGAGCCAGTTCAACTTACCTGGGATATCTTTTTTAGTATCTGGTTTGATGAACCCTAACATTGGCTGTCTGTTTTTATTATTATTATTATTATTTATTATTTTATTATTATTATTATTATTATTTATTTATTTATTTAATGAAATACTGTCTTTTCCCCCTAGTTTTCATTGCAGGTATTTCATGTTATTTTGAGCTGCAGTGATGGAATCAGAGTGTAAAATAGCAGCACTATCACTGCAGACTAAAATAAACTTTGCATAGTAAAAATGCTGCTAAAATCATGTGTTTAGTGTTGTAAACAATCTCTGTGTTTGGTAGAAGCTCTGTTATAAAGCCAGAGGAAATACAGCCTTGGAACAGTGACATGATTCTACTGACCTGTGACAATATATAGGCTACTCATTATTACCTGAGACTTCGGACTTTTGTCCATAAATACTTTTTCTTTAGTGATCTGATTGGTCAGAGGTCGGGGTGTTGACAGGCTTTAATCTGATAGTTAACCCGAAGTAGATTAGCTGTTCATCATAAGTTACCATGGTGATTTATCCTGGTAAAAATGGAACCAGCTTCATAGCACTGAAAACCCAGAGTTAACCCTAAAGTTACCTCGTTAACTCCAAATCCTGCTTCACAGTACAGGCCTCTGATGCTGTAGGCGAGGTCAGCCAGCTCTGATTCAGATAAGAAACTGCATTGTACCACCACACCAAGTCCACCTACATCCAAAGCGTTAGTCCAGACTTGAAACTGACTGTGAAATAAACAGTTGTTGGAACATGTTCTCCCTCACCAGCAGCTTTACAACTTCCTGTTGCTTTTCAGACAGCAGTGTTATTGCCCCAGGGTGCCACATTTACCCGTTCACCTTTCAGATCCCGCTCCAGTAAGTAATCATTCTTTTAATGGTTCCATAATGACTTGGCTAGACCCGTATGTTCTCCAGACTTAGTTTATTTAACAATACTTACATACGTTGTCTTCTGAAAAATATCTCAATAGATCAACCTCGGGTTCAGCTTTTATAGACCTACTGTAGAGTATGTGTATTCATTCGATAGCCAGCTTTCTTGTATGTGCAAGGCATAAAAAGTGCCCAGTCAATTCATCATGTTCTTCCACTCTTGTGCCACAGGGAAATGCCCTCCTCCTTCACTGGCTCTGTTGGTAAAATCATTTACTCGCTGGAAGCCAAGCTGTGCAGATCAATGAGGATTAACAAGAAAGATTCAACCAAGATCAACTTTGTGTCGAAGGCGGACCTGAGCAGTGACCCTGGGCTGATGGTATGTGCTGAGTTACATTTTCATTCCTGTCAGTCCAGCAGGGAAGAAAAAATGTGGTGGTGACAGCTGCTGAATGACTATAATGCAGCCCAGGTGTTCAAGGTGCTTCAATGCCAGCAGCCTTCAGGTGTAAATATATATTGACTGGGTATGTTCAGTAAACCAGTCCTGTATAAACAAGCTTTGAAATGCACTTAGTATACTCAGTGTCATGAGTGAGTTATCACTTTTAGGCCATGTAGTGAAATGGAAATGTTTTCTTTTTTGTTTCCCTGTTAGAGATGTTATCTAATTATTTTAACAGCACAACTGTTGCGTTAGCTCCATTTGCATGGCTTTTGTTGTGCTGGGGCGCCGGACAAGGACATGTGAGACACCAGAGAAAAGCTAAAAGGATAGTTTTTTTTTATTTCTCTCTCTGTTGTTGTTTAAGTGTATTGCATTACTATGTTTGGTCTTGTTTCAGATGCCACAGCACGAGTCTAAGGATAAGAAAATGAAATTTTTCACCTCAGGAACAGTAGCAATGGACGTGAATCTTGAAAAAACAGGTTTCTTCCAAGGTCAGAGCCCTTAAAGTGACATTGACTCTGTTAACTCTCATGCCAAGGCTTGTTTTGATATTTCTGGTCTCTTTTTTCAGGCGAAGGATTAAAGGTTCTGACCTCTGTTCAGAACAACTCCTCACGCGAGATCAAGCCCAAGTACTGTGTGTACAGAAAGCACAGCTTCTTTGCAAATGGGAAGAGAAGACTCAATACTAAAGACCTCTTTAAAGAGGTGGGTGAGCCCATCCCTCCTTCTACCAGCGTAAACGTCACACAGGTCCTCCCCATCCCTCATGATCTGGAGCCCACCATCCTCAACTGCAGCAACATCAAAGTGGAGTACAGACTCAGGGTAAGTTTCTAATTCAAAATGTGTGTGCTTGTTTTTATGTGACTGTGAACAAGAAAGATCATATGTCTCAAGACAATTATATGGATTTTTTAACATTTCAAATCAAGTCAGTTGTTCCTATATAATTTGAAATTACAAGTTTGCTTCACACACCCCTTTTCCACCTAATTAGCTCTGTTTCGTTAGCTCTGTTCAGGATTCATGGACCCTTGGTGCTATCTAGTAAACCCAAGTAGTTTCCCAAGTTTCCACCAGTTTTAACCATTATAATCAAGGATGTGTCATTAAAGGATGGTGTTGTACAATGCATAACAAAAATAAACAGTAGTATTTTGATTGGTTATTACAGATATTTGGGTTTTATCCAGAAAACAAGCATAGAAGAAATAATAAAGCCGTAGCTGGTAACTTTCAGGAAAAATAACTTTAGTCATATTTGCCAAAACTGTTACTATATTAAATTTAAAAAAAAAAAAAAATCTTAGGCCTAGATAAGAAATTAGCTCTCTAGCGCTCCCATTTTGTTTGATCGGGTCAATAATGGAGGGGTCCCCTCAGATTATGTGTGGTCATATGCCTACAAAGTTGCGTGGTGATCGGTAAAGCCCTTGAGATGTTATACACCTTTATGTGATGAGCCACGCCCTCCGCAATATTCATTGCCTTATAGAAGCTCAGTTTTAGTAAGTTTTCCAACTTTTGCCAAGAGGGAACTTTAGATATTGGTCCCTAGATTATGTTCACCGAGTTTCATGCAGATCGGTCAAACTTCCTAGGAAGAGATCAATTTTAAGTGTTTTTCAAAAAATTCAAAATGGCGGAAAATCTATATAACCGGAAGTTATGGGGTCTTGAGGCAAATTTGTTCCTCATGAGGAGAGGAATCTCTGTGCAAAGTTTCATGTCTCTATGACATACGGGGCATGAGATATGCCCATTCAAAGTGTGCAATTTCAGTCGGTTGCTATAGCGCCCCTCTTTGGCCAATTGATGTAATATTGCTTCATTTGCATCCTCCCATGACCCTCTACCACTGTGCCAAATTTCACATGGATTGACCAAGTCAGTGAGGAGAAAAACGAGGAACAGACACACATTTATATAAACCTTAATTTAATCAGGAGGTCCATTGAGATTGAAAATCTCTTTTACAAGAGAGACCTGGCCGAGGTAGCAGCCAATCAGAACACATTTAAAATGCAGTAAATACAATGTAATACAAAAATCCACAATAAAACAACTATTCAAACGTAGTGTCCTCTCAGGAAAAACAAGCACATGTCTCTGTCACCACATTCTTTATGATGCCCTTGAGCATTGTCTTGTAGTGCACCCAATGGCCTTACCAGTCTTGTCTTGTCAATGCCTGCTCATGAATCACAGTCAAACTGTCAAACTAGCTGTGCCGATCAATTATGAATCAAGATTTGTTATCACATTGCCTGTTTCTCGCCTTAAATGTTTTCAAAAAAATATTTTAGTGTAGTCTACTGGTTGTGAGAAGTTTTTGGCTCAACTGTATCCAACATGGCGGCTGGATCACAAACTTTATCAATATTTAGTGTCATACTTGAGTTTGGCCATGTCGTCGAGCTAGTTTGCTGTCTCTGTTAAGTAGCTGTCCTTTAGTCGCTCACTCTACAGCAGGAAACAGCACATCAAAATACAAGCTTTGCACCGGAAATTCAGTGTACTTAAAAATAAAGTTTTTTACAACTTTACATGTTTGCAAGTCACTTGTGGTCCATTCAGAATGCACCCACGACCCACCATTTGGGACCCACTGATGTAGAAGACTATCATGAATAAGACATCTGCTGTGTCTCAAATTGCGTACTTCTGTACTTTCACTTAATATTTTGAGTGCATAAGTGCGTTCACACTGAGAAGTATGGAAAAATGCAGTGCATCATGAGTACCCGGATAGTGCGCTCAAAACGGTCAAGAAGTTGAGTGTGGAACTATGGACACTTGGCGCCCTCAATGGTTGCCATCTTGGCTATGTAGCGGAAGGGGAGGGACCACTTTTCAAACTGGAAATAGCGGCTGAGGACTGTGCGACCGCGAACGTCACTGCATTGTACAAATACATGTGTTTTGTGCACTAAGCACCACTATACTGTTGTCGGGTATAAGCCAGCAATATGTTTACTGGGTTAATTTAGCAGTCTGTAATAATTTGGTACCGCGAACGATAATGCGAATGCTAATGCTAGTTTGCTAACTAGCTAATTTGCGGTCGTCATTTCCGGTGAGTGCACAATGGCCGTGTTTGGTTTGAGACAACACTACCCTGTCGGAATTCGTGCACTACGCCAATGAGTACATAGTACACATAGTATACTACATGTAAGTGTACTAACGGAAGTATGTGAATTGAGACACGCCAATCGTCTCTTTCCAACCTGTAGAATATGACACGCCTACTGATATTGTCATGGTTCCCACTTCAGCTCAACAAAAACCTGCTATTTTTTGGTTCCAACCAACTTTTTGGGTTCCAAACCAGTTTATGTACAGTACAGGCCAAAAGTTTGGACACACCTTCTCATTCAATGCGTTTTCTTTATTTTCATGACTATTTACATTGTAGATTCTCACTGAAGGCATCAAAACTATGAATGAACACATGTGGAGTTATGTACTTAACAAAAAAAGGTGAAATAACTGAAAACATGTTTTATATTCTAGTTTCTTCAAAATAGCCACCCTTTGCTCTGATTACTGCTTTGCACACTCTTGGCATTCTCTCTATGAGCTTCAAGAGGTAGTCACCTGAAATGGTTTCCACTTCACAGGTGTGCCTTTTCAGGGTTAATTAGTGGAATTTCTTGCTTTATCAATGGGGTTGGGACCATCAGTTGTGTTGTGCAGAAGTCAGGTTAATACACAGCCGACAGCCCTATTGGACAACTGTTAAAATTCATATTATGGCAAGAACCAATCAGCTAACTAAAGAAAAACGAGTGGCCATCAATACTTTAAGAAATGAAGGTCAGTCAGTCCGGAAAATTGCAAAAACTTTAAATGTGTCCCCAAGTTGAGTCGCAAAAACCATCAAGCGCTACAACGAAACTGGCACACATGAGGACCGACCCAGGAAAGGAAGACCAAGAGTCACCTCTGCTTCTGAGGATAAGTTCATCCGAGTCACCAGCCTCAGAAATCGCAAGTTAACAGCAGCTCAGATCAGAGACCAGATGAATGCCACACAGAGTTCTAGCAGCAGACCCATCTCTAGAACAACTGTTAAGAGGAGACTGCGCGAATCAGGCCTTCATGGTCAAATAGCTGCTAGGAAACCACTGCTAAGGAGAGGCAACAAGCAGAAGAGATTTGTTTGGGCCAAGAAACACAAGGAATGGACATTACACCAGTGGAAATCTGTGCTTTGGTCTGATGAGTCCAAATTTGAGATCTTTGGTTCCAACCGCCGTGTCTTTGTGAGACGCAGAAAAGGTGAACGGATGGATTCCACATGCCTGGTTCCCACTGTGAAGCATGGAGGAGGAGGTGTGATGGTGTGGGGGTGTTTTGCTGGTGACACTGTTGGGGATTTATTCAAAATTGAAGGCACACTGAACCAGCATGGCTACCACAGCATCCTGCTGGTGTTGGACGATCATTTATTTTTCAACAGGACAATGACCCCAAACACACCTCCAGGCTGTGTAAGGGCTATTTGACCAAGAAGGAGAGTGATGGAGTGCTGCGGCAGATGACCTGGCCTCCACAGTCACCGGACCTGAACCCAATCGAGATGGTTTGGGGTGAGCTGGACCGCAGAGTGAAGGCAAAGGGGCCAACAAGTGCTAAACACCTCTGGGAACTCCTTCAAGACTGTTGGAAAACCATTTCAGGTGACTACCTCTTGAAGCTCATGGAGAGAATGCCAAGAGTGTGCAAAGCTGTAATCAGAGCAAAGGGTGGCTATTTTGAAGAAACTAGAATATAAAACATGTTTTCAGTTATTTCACCTTTTTTTGTTAAGTACATAACTCCACATGTGTTCATTCATAGTTTTGATGCCTTCAGTGAGAATCTACAATGTAAATAGTCATGAAAATAAAGAAAACGCATTGAATGAGAAGGTGTGTCCAAACTTTTGGCCTGTACTGTAGGTTGAAATGCTGCGGATGTTTCAACATTAGGTGCAGGAACCAGAAAAGAATCTGCTCCATGTTGGTGGAAAAGGGGTAGAAGTGCTTTACAGTCTGTGCAGCATGGATCATCTTACACCATCAATTCAGAAAAGAAAACAAATCCCCAAACTTCCCAAATCTAACTCATGACATCACTAAAATACTGAGAAAAAGTAACAATACAGCTGCACTTCACTTTTGAAACCACCCCTGTCTCATCGTCTGTGGTGTTTGCCAAAGGAGTCAGTTACGCAAACAGGGTGTGAATATTTGTAAATGTATACAATGCTGGTCGTTCTAGTAATTAAATAAAATCCAACAATGTAACATCATCAATTTTTTCCACAGGTCTACCTCGATGTCAAATATGCCTCAGACCCGGAGATCAAATTTCCCATAGTCATCCTGCCGGCTTCTCAGGTTGCTGCCAAGGCACCACCACCTGCTGCTTCTGGCTTTGGATTTGAATCATTTGGGAACACAAACCCACCAGTCTGGGGCATCATGCCGCCACAACCACCAGCACCAGCGGCAGCATTAGCAGCACCCCAACCTTTCGATCCCCCACCTCCCTATGGATCATATGGGATGTACCCGCCTTTGTCAGGTTTTGACAAAAAATACTAGTGATGAGACTGAAGATACTTAACAGTATCAGTTTCATTAGTGATGCATTTTGTTATGATGTCCACTAAATATTAGGTGCTACAATACATTTACTGCTCTTAAATCATTCAAATTTTGCATCATATTGTGCTGGAGGGCATTTGTGTTCTTTCAAAGCTTTGTGTTTGGAGTGAAACCTGGTTGATAGAAACTGCCGCTATCCACTGCTATGATCTGTAGCTCTTGTGTACTGTATACATGGGAGCATTATGTATTGTACAGTCCTTGCGGAATTTCAGATACCCCTGGCTTCATCTCTTTCAAGCTGCAGGATTGTGCCGTCTGTGATTGTGCGAAGCTCACACTAGCTCATAGAAAGAGCGGGGAGCACTTAAACACCAGTGCATATCCTAACTTTCAGAGGTGTAAATATTGTTGAAAAAGAGGCATGTTTCATTTCATTTCAACTTGGAATCTAATAGTTCTCCTGTTTCAGATGAGACTGTGATATTTTCTGTGTGTAGAAACGCTGCCATGCAGATAGTGAATGACACTAATGTACAATTCATTTCTGCCCTCTGCATTAAAAGGCCATTCCGATGATTTCACACATGAAGGTCAGTTTATCCATCAGGGTTCGGCTACTCAACCTGTGGAAACTGTCCAACGTGTTTTTTGTGGCTGTGTCGAGAGCTCTCTATGGTCTGAAGGAATAACCCTTGTGATGGCCTCTGATGATGTCATAGGGGTTATCTCAGACCTTAAAGTAACTGACAGAAAACTCTGCAGACTTTAAAAGATAAGGGCATTTACCAGGTGTTGTGAAAGACATTGTCCAGTTGCATGGTGGGAATTGTAGGATCCAGCATATTCTGTCTGGACTCATAGGGGCTGAAAGTCAGGAAATCTCAGCCTCTGTTAGTTAGTTGTTGGAGTACTCCCCCAAAATCCCCATCTTTTTACTAATTTGAATAAAATCCAATTTTATTTTTTTTTTCATTTTCTTACAAAAACTGTCCTGTAATAATGTGAAAAAAAGTGTTGAGGGGGCTGCTCTGATGCTTCATTTCTGTATGTCTGAGTGAGTGAGTAAATGAAGCAAAGATATGTTATTGTCTCTGGAATATAAACTGTTTTGTTGATGGGTGGAAACACTAGTTGTAGTCAGTTTTTGTGCTCAGTGATGTGATTGAATGTCACCATTTTTATCCATTACATTTCTCTGTCCTGTTTTCACTGAACTCTCCTGTGGCCTTAAAATATACTATCCTTGTATAACAAAGTAAAGTGTATCAAGTTCTTGCTCCTGTTTTGTCTGTGTTCTTCCATTCCACACCACATAACTGAAGGGTAGGTCAGTGTCAAAGGAATATTTATACACGCACAAATCTGACTGTGAGAGAAAACTAGTGTCTGGTAAATAATAGCAATTAAACTGGTCTTGTGCTCTAAAAGGAGCTGGTTATTCAAAACAGGTAAGAGTCTTGCTCACTTTTTCCATTCGCTGGTTTCCGCCAGGTGACTAATTTGGTTATGATGCAACACATGAATGCAACAGAAAGACTGGTTTGATTTTTTCTTTGCATTTGTGTTTATGATTTAAAAAAAGACAGTATAAAAAATCATCTGTTAAGGCGAGACACTGCAGGTGAATAGGGTAAAATTTTAAAATAATAGATATCATCATGAAACTTCCCCAGCTGATTACTTACAATAGTATGAAAAAAATGTATTACAAGTTTTTAAAATTTTAAAGTTTAATTATGCAAATTAGGCAATGTCTCATTAAATATGCACTGATTTGCATAGATTTTAGGAAGACAAATCTGAATATCTGATAAAGCCAGGTGCAAATTTATTTTCATTTTCTTTACATATAAGATAAAAAAAAAATTACAGATTGATTTAAGGATATTTTCTTTTATTACCTAGAAAATCAAAATACACTGTCTAGTCTTAAAAAATTGATTTTCGCCCATATTTTTGGGAATAAAATGTCACATAAATCAGGATAGGAATGATTTATTAACAAATCCCTCTGTGAATATCTTAAGAATATAGCTATGTGTATAACTGGGAAGTTTGGTGTACATAGGTGCTACATAGGCTGAGATGTTCTACTTTGAGTATTACAAAAAACTCATTTTGAGAAAATGGCATTCAAAGATTTACATAATAACATAATACAAGTAGACAAAATGTAATGTAAATTCTATTTAACTAAACATCACCCGTGTATATAGACGTCTTTTAATTCAAATATTTTGATTCCACAGAGTTGGCTCACACGTGCTGCACCCAAATGAGGATTCAAATTGGCCTAGTGAATTCATACCCGCTACTTATGCTGCCACCCAAATACAGTGGCAGTGAATGGAATTTCATTTGTGGTGTGGTGGTGAATTTTCATAAAAGAAATGTCTGTAAGAAAGTGGACACCATAGACCAATGTTTTAGTGTTTAACCCACTCGAGTTGTTCCCAAATGATTGTCAAAGTGACGTCTGTGGATTATCAGTAACCAGGTTATTGCGTAGAGACTTGTCTTTGACACTGACCTATTGAAAAATTAAGCTTTTGCTGTTCTGAAAGCCGGTGAAATAAGTTTCTTTTAGTGATTTATATAATTTCCATTCCCCCACTGTGACTATTCTGAGTCATCCAACAGCAACCCCTTGGACTAAATTTCCATCATGTCAGAGAGCACGTGCTAATAATAATTTATTCATTTGATTGGAAAATGTGTCATGTGAAACACTGAGAAAGCGTAGCATGTGACAGTCATGAGCCCAGGTGCAAACGACAGGTATTATCTCCGCCCACTGAGGTGGCTGTCAAGAGAGCACACTCCCAGTCACAGTGTGCGTGTCGCATCTGTGCTGTGGGCACAAAAGGGAAAACAGGTTCAACACAATTTGCATGCCTGAGATCATATAAACAGTGCGGAGCAGGTGCTCGGGGTTCACAAAGCTTGACTTGGTTTCACAGGAGATTTTGACATTGCTCTGTGGAGCATGACCATCACGAACTTCTCAATTGAATATGATGCCATCAACAGCAGAAACATCTTCACAAATGGAGATACCATTAATGGGAGAATCATCGTGGAGGTGTCTAAGGAAACTAAAGTCCAGTCTCTTGTTTTTATATCACAAGGAAAAGCTCGTGTCCGCTGGACTGAACATTACGGGCAGTATCATACTCATGTGTACTGGGCTGATGAGAAATATTATGATGTCAAACATCACATCTTGAGAGAGTCAAGACAAGATGGTAACGTATTAAATGATACATATATTGATATGCAGCACATTGTAGGTAATGCAATGACTATATAAACTGTTTTATGACTTAAAGTAATTCTGTTTCAGGAACTGAAATCATTGGCAAAGGACGACATGTGTTCCCTTTTTCCTTCCAGATTCCCGACAGGTGCTTATTCTTTACCTAATTTCTAATTTTAGATTGATGTTTTACTTCTTTTCAAATCATTTAACTTTCTCGTGATTGTACTCCACAGAAAAATCCCATCATCTTTCAAATCCTGCATTGGCAAGATTGTTCACAAAGTGAAGGCAGAGCTTAAACAATCAATGAAGCTGACAAAAAAGACCAAAACACACTTCACATTTGTGTCCAAAGCTGACATGGATATTCCAGGACTTCTGGTGAGAAATAGTCTTGAAAAACAGCTATTTTGTGAGGAATGTTTTCGTAACAGAGGAGACAGTTATCTGACCGTGTTACCCTGATGTGTGCGTCTGTTCTTAGGACCCTCAGTATGGTAGCAAGGATAAATCTGTCAAAGTTTTCGGCTCTGGAAACATCTCAATGGATATTCAAACCAAGCGGATGGGATACAAGCAAGGTAATAATCCCTCACCTCAAAGAGGAACAGTTTACAACATCCTACATGTTTCGTCAAGGAAACTTTAGTGACAAACTCTTGTTTGATAACACCCTACTCCTACCTAACCTGTTAGGTGAGTCAACTGAGTGCCTTGAAAAAATGTTTTTGTTGGGTCATGAGGTGGACTTGATGCCAGCAGAGGAGAACCTCATTCCTTGACACTGCAGCAGTTGCATACCTTAAAATGCAAGATCATTTTTCCTGTGCTGCTCTCTCCATCTTAACACTATAGGTCAGTGTATGAGCTGTATGTACATTGCAACTACAGCTGTTCTTCCTTCAGTGCTGAAATCTTTCTGAGACAGCTAGATAACAATGTGCACTGGTCTGGGTGGGAACATGAAAGCAACAGGATAAACAACAATGCACAGAGGGTGTGTGGAGCGGGGGGGTCGGGGTCAATACATGTTCAACAAGTTTTTGCCTTGGTGCACTCTAGCAGGTTAATTCAACCATGGCCCAGCTGTGGGAAGCAGGAGGAGGCTGTCACCTTAACTCACAGGGGCAGGCCACTCAGCAGGGTTTTGATCAAGTGGACAGAAAATGTTGTATAGTGGCATCATATGGGACTATGTATTTATGGTTATAATTATTTTTTAAAAATAATCCTAACAGTTTTCAGCAGATTTGATAAGATTGTACTAGATTTTAGTGTGATATTTACATTTAAAAAATGTAAAATATAAATAAATAAAAAATCTACTTGTCACACTCAGTCAGGGATGTTTCGAATGGGGACCAGATTAGATAATCTGAGAACACCTGGAGGGCCGGCTGCTTTTCAAATCATACAGGTTATTAAAGAAAAGAATCACATACAAATGAGACAAACGCAACCATTTCATCTTTTAGTGAAAAAGTATTTAACTTTACACCACTCTCGAAAGCGGCGTCCCTCGCTGTTGACATCACACTTCCTTGCTGTGGCAATGTCTGCTGCTCAGCAGGAAATGTCTGCTGTTAGGTAACGCTTGTTTACCATCTGTTTATGAAAACACATTAGTTCCACCTGCGTACTTCCTACTTGGTGCATGTCTACAAACTGTACGATAGTCCCGCCATTGTGAGGCAGAAAAATGCAAAGTGATCTGGCATGAATATTGTATGGTGGGTCACATACACTATTTTTTGAGCAACAAACCGTGGGCCTTTTAAAATTGCATGTCTGATCTAGTGTGACAAACTGCAGTATATAACACTGTTTCTGAATGACATCAGAGCTAGCTTTGCATTTCTGTACTGATAAACTTTGACAAACAAAGCAAAGCAGAGACGAGATACCCCAAAAGCAAGATAACAGTAGGAAGCCAAACATTAATGCCAAACTAAAGCAAGACAAAATTAAGGTGAAATTTAGACAAGCAAGAGTACGCAAAACCATAGTAAAAAGATGACAGATAGAAATTAATTTAGTTTATTTAGTTCATTTTCCAGGAACTTTTATTTCCAGAAAATTTATTTACCTGGGTAAAAGAACTCCTGGTAATCTGTGTGGTTTGCGTTTCCATCGCACATCAACGTTCCGAAATTTTATTTTCAAATCAGGCTGACGATGTATGGGGGAGCGTCTAATAATCTTGCTTAAGTTTCTTCAACTTTTCACGAAGTTGTTTCGGCATGTGCCCTATATTTAGCTCCACCAGCTTGTTGGCTACACTTCCATAGACTCGGTCGTTCCGAGTCACCAACTCGAAGTCCCGCTGAATTTCTTGCTCGGCAAATAGGCTCAAAAGGGGCTAGACCCTGTTGTCCGTCCACTTCTTGTAGCTTCTCTTCTTCAAATGATCAAAACACAAACTAAGTGAAGCTTTTAGAAATGAAATAAAGTTTGCAGCCACACTGGCACAGAAGTTCTTCAGCAAACAGCCCCGCCACTCAAGAATTCAGGGGAATCTGAAAAGTCCTAACCCCCCTACTAAGTACTTTTTTGAGGGAAACTTTGGGGTTGAGGGAAAGTTTTTCCCCTGGGTAATTTTGGTGGAAACGCGCCGAGGTTTTTCAAAATCCAGGGTAGATGATAAAAGTTCAAAGAGATCACTGATTCTGCAAGCCTAATATCCTCAGGCAGGTTGTTCCAATATCTGCAATAAGCTAATAACAGCCAATATAACAGCCTGGCTGATTCATCAGTCCAGCTCTAATGTTTACTACAGTATGATATTAATTTGCATGGTTGTAAAATATTCAGGTTAACCCTGGAATGGGTCTGTATATGAACGCTCACCTTGGATATGGATGTAGAGAAAATGCATGTTCACTAAGAACTTAACGGCAGCTAAAATCTTGTTTTTGTTGACGTCCAGTAGTTTTTCACTTTGCTCATGTGATGTACAAGTGTGCTGGGAAACCATGACATCACAGTTCAGCCTATTTAATGCTTGATACTATCTTTAATAAAAATATAGGGATTTCTCTCTGTTACACTGGCCACATCCAGGTCGGCCTAATGCGTATCATACAGAAACTCACTGCACACACATTATCCTCTTACACAGTCAGAATTGTGATCGCCTACTGATTGGGCTTTGAAATTGATAACCTTTCTTTCCTCCATTTTACAGGTAGGGATCTAAAGGTCATGGCTGAAATCAGCAACCAATCAAGTCGTTCAGTGAAGCCCAAATTCATACTGTACGAGAAGCAGAGTTTCTTCGCCCAGGGTCGCAGGAGAGTTAGCACAAATGAGATCCTTAAGGAGAAGGTGGAGGCTGTTGAACCCTCCAGGAAAGAGACTGTGACCAAGGTGATCACCATCCCCAGAGAGCTACCTCCCTCCATCTTGAACTGCTCCATCATCAAGCTGGAGTACAGGCTGAAGGTAAACGTCACTGTAGCTTGTGGGAGGCAATCCTGCATTTCCTCTTCCTGAGATATTTAAATGCTTGAATGCTATTTTGTTAAAATAGCTATACTGCCATGCCTTGATATATAATATACAAAAGGGAGTGTTTTCTCCTCTGACTGTTACTTAAATGACCAAGCAAATATTAAAAGTAATCAGCGCAGGAAACTCCAGTGAAGACTAATGAACTCCAGAAACTCCTTAGACCAAACCTCCAGGAAACCAGAGGGGACCTCTAGTGACAAAACAAAGGAATAAGAAACATAGTAAAGCCTCACTGTCTTGAGCTAGATTGACACAAAAACTTCCCAAATATGAATTTCAACATGTATCTAGAGTTTTTGAACCCACCATTGTTTTTGTTGTGTGCCAAAGGAGTAAGTCATGAGCACACTATGTATATAAATGTGACTGCACAATAACTCTGGTGGTATAAAGAAGAAGATAATATCCAACAATATAACTTTTTTTCCACAGGTCATTCTAGATGTCAAACTTGCTTCAAACCCTGAGATCAAACTCCCTATAGTCATCCTACCTGAGCGCCCTGCTGAGAAACAACTGCCTCCTTCTGCCGGCGTTGGATTTGAAACATTTGGGAACCAAAACCAAGCAGCCTGGAACATGGTACCACAACCACAAGCAGCACTTGGAGCTCTGGATCCCCCACCTCCTTACGGAGCATATCCAAATTACCCCTCATTTACCGATTACAGCAAATGAAGCTCAGCGTAAGTTCAATCAGGAATCTTTGTGCTCATCCATTCACAATTCTCTCCATCCCACTCCCACTGCTTCCTCTAATCTGCTGACTATGGGCGTTCACTCTTCCAGTTGTCCAATCAAACTTTGCCATGATCTCTATCAGCCAATCAGGGTGCTACTGCCAAATTTTAAATCTGCTCTCCCCTCTGCTGCTGTCAGCCGTCATTTTAGGCAGAATTGTTGCGCCCTCCTCCACCCTGTTCACCTCCAGCCATCGTATCCAGAGTCAAGGACAAGGTCAACAAAGGCTCATTCCTCTACTCACTTCTCCAGCTTCCTCTCATCTCATCTTCACCACCTCTACCACCACCAGCGTCTAGACCCCGTGGGGTTCCCTATACAACCATGGATTCATCACCCTCCTTAAATCATACCATCTCTATGGGGTCTAATCGCCAAAGACTTTCCACATTTTTCATTCTTATGTGCAGATTCTTTTTACTATATAACTCTCCTGATTGCAATAAGGTTAATAATTCACAGCAGCAGGCTACAGCAGGCTCACGTCTTAAACTCCACTGCCAGAGATTTCTTTGCTTTATTCGTGTAGTCTGCAGCCCCAACCAAAGTTTTCCATGCAGCTCTCTCTGGAGCCAGAAAAAAATATCGACTTTTCAGCTATGCTATGTAGCTGATCTGCTGTCAAACCATGTCTTTTTAGTGTAAAATGTTTATTCGGAGTTCTGCAGAGACAGAAGTCCAACATTGCCTGCAGGAACACATTGTTGTGTATGCTTATGTTTGCAATATTTTTAGCTGTGTAACTGAAGATGCTTTGAATAAATAGTTGATATCTTTGTGTAAAAATAGTAATCATATGATTCTTGGTCCGTTCCCAGTCGCGTCGGTGCCATTTTTAAACCATGAACTGAATTCCATGTGTCGGAATGTTATGTTCACACTAACTAAATGTTAATCAGCCTGCTCAAAGGAGCTGTATGCAACATGCAGACCATATCCCCCCCTCTCACTTAAAATCATGAAGTCTAAAATCATCTTTTAAGAAAAGATCCTTTGGCCAGTGTGGAGATTTTGCACAAAATCTATTTTAAAGCAGAAAATTGAGCCTGCAGCATCTCCTGGCAAACAGACTGTGGCCAAGGTGATCACCATCCCTCGAGACAAACTGCCCTCCATCTTGAACTGCTCCATCTCAAAGCTGGAGTACAGGCTAAAAGTAAACAGCAGCATGTTACGGTCAGCTTAAAAGTTGTTGAACGTGTACTGACTCTTAATCTTTTACCCTTAAAGCAGATGCAATTTCATTATATTTCATTGCCGAGTTGTTCTACATATTTCTTTGATCAAATATCCTGTAATGAAACAGTCAGTTGGGATTGTTTTATGCATGCCGAACCATCTTCTCGGGAGCAGGACACTTTCTAGCGTATAAAGTCATCAATACAGGAAAGACATAGCTCTAAAAGGACGCTTGGTCCCTTCCTTTATCATCGATATTGTATTCCTGCCAGGTGAAAGTCCTGTGTCATCCCCCTAATTAAGATTAACAGTATATCATGTTATCCGAGTCAGCAGCAATATTGACCTCATGTTTGTTTCTACTGTCTCATAATAAATACTTAACATATAATATTGTCAGTGAACAAATAAGCAGAATAAATCCCATATATTGTTTTAGTGTTGTACTGTGTTTTTTTTACATTGTTTCAATAAGAATTACAGAGGAATACCAATTAATTTGCACACACTGTTATAATCGTTTGTCTTAGTGGATCCATGATGCCAGTCTTAATTCATTTGGCCTAATTTCGCCTGCAAGGCAGCTGGCTAGAGTTACCTGTGTGAAAGTGACACCTGCAGCTCTTGGTCATGTGATCATGTGTGACACAGATACAGCTTTTGGACAAGTTCGCTGCTACAGTGCTAGCCTCGCCTGATCCTTGTTCATCAAAGAGAGGCCCCACTTCATGAGGTATTTTTGCACAAAAGGAGGAGTCCTGTCATGACTGTAAAGCATCTCTCTGTGGACTACAACAAGGTGAATGAACGTGGCACCTTCTCTCCTGGGGACATGCTCTCTGGCAGGGTGACAGTGGTGACCAGCAAGGAAACCAAAGTGCAGTGTTTTCTGGTCAGAGCCAAAGGAAAAGCTAAGGTGACATGGCATGAGCAACAAGGACGAGCCAGAGAGACGTACAGCGACAAGAAGAAATACTTTTATTTTGAACATATTATTCTTCAGGATAAAAACAAAGGAGATGGTTGGTACTACCACTCCCTTGTGGCACAAAGAAAAGAAACACCTTAACACTTTTAATGTGAAAGATACTTCAAAGTCTGTAAACAAACTGATGAGTGTGTGTTTAACAGAAATGTTTCTCTTTATAAGGTTCAGAAATCATCCGCCCTGGAAGAAATGTGTATCCATTCACCTTTGTGATTCCAAATACGTGCGTGTACTACCTGTTTATATTGATTTTTTTTAAATATTTATAGTATATTGAACCCTTCTTTTCCAGCTGGTGAAATAATATAACCTCCTTTATGTATTTGGATTATTTCCCCACAGAGATATGCCTTCATCTTACGAGGGGAAATGGGGCAAAATCACATATACTTTGCGTGCACAGCTGACTCAGTCAATCTGGCTCGTCCACAAAACCAAAATTGAGTTTCCTTTTCTGACCAAGTCTGAGTTCCCCTTTGCCTCCAAATCAGACATGATAATCATCGGACTTAAGGTATGAATCTGGCTTTTATTTTAGATCTTGTGCATCCAGTTTGGTTTATAAGCGTGATATAATTATAGTATGTAATATAGCAATCATCTGTGCAGCTAATACCACCTTAAATTGGTACTTAAAGATCTGGCTTCCTGACAGTTTATGTCTCTACTTGGTAGGAGCGACACTTTGCAACCAGGATTTCATTTTATGGCTCTACAAAGGTTACTATTAATGTTACCTCTGAAAAAATGGGAGTAAAGCAAGGTAAACAGATGTCACTATAATCATATTTTTTTCTGAATGGCCTTAACTGAATCATTAATGATGTTTTTTTCCCTCCTCAATATAAATAGGTGATGCAATGGGAGTTTCTGTGGAGGTACTCAATGAATCTGCACGCTCAGTAACACCCAAGTTCTACCTGTGTGAAAAGCAGACCTTTGTAGCTCAGTCAAAGAGGATAGTACACACAAATGACACCCTCTTTGGGATGGGAGACTCAGTTGCAGCTGACAGCAGTCGGACCATAACCAAAGTCCTGAGTGTCCCCCCACAGCTCCACCCTACCTTCTTCAACTGCAGCATGATGAAGCTCGAGTACAGACTCAAGGTATTTATAGTCACTATATTGTGTCATGGATTTAATCCTCTGGCTTGTATACAGTGTGGTTGCAAAAACACATCTGTGACTTTTTGTCAAGCTGAACAGGAGTATGCATCATGACAACAGCACCACATAGTGGCTGTATGAGGGGGAGAAACAGAGGAGGAAAGAAAGGAGGGGTCAAAGGGGACAGCCCTTGGTGGCTCGTCTCCACACTAACAGTATTAACAGTTGTGTGCCTTTGGTTGCAGGTCACTGTTGATGTCCCTCTGGCAAGAGACTCGGAGATCAAACTTCCTCTGGTCATTCTGTTGGGTTCACCAAAACCACATCAAGAAAAACCAAAGAGATCCATCTGGTTTAGAAAATTCCCTGGTTAAAAATATGCATTGGATCAGCTGTTTCTCAAACTCTGTCTGTCGTGTTCCCCTTTCAGAAGCTGAAATCACACAATTTTTGATCAATTATTAACAATACTTGGGGAAACAACTGATTAAAAAAAGATCCATGTTGCATTTCAGTGAAATAAAGGTCAGCATGACAGCACCGGCAAACTTTTGTGTTTATTTTCCCCTGCATTCATCATACTTAGTCAGCTTTGTTTCACTGTAGATTTCTTCCCTGGTCATCCACGCCCCTCCTGCTGTGGCTTTATGGCCCACCAGGGGGGCCTGCCCACAGTTTGAGAACCATGGTATTAGCTCAAACCACAGTTGCATGCATGTTGTGTGACAGAGAGCGACAGGACTCAAAATAACACATATATAGCTGCTATAAAGAAACCACCTCAAGTAACTGAGAGATCATTGTGTGTTCTCTTGTCCACTAGATGGAGATGTGTCACTAATTAGCCTGTCGTAACAGTTCATTAGAGTGTATGTGCTTAAATCCAAGTAGTCAGATCTTCCATTTGAATCAAAGGACCAGTATCACATTGTAAAAATACTCCATTACAGCCGCTCCTGGGACTGACATATCATTAATATTGATATAGCATTTTACTGTTAGAGCTGTTTGAAGCAGAGCTAGTCTCACTACTTTATACATATTTAGGTAATTTAATTAGAATAATGTAACGTGGTGTGCTGCATATGTCTGTTTTCATCTTTGGAATCATCTCTAATCTTCTCTGCTCTCTTTTATTGGGTAAAATCTTGAATAATTTAACATCTTTGATCCTCAAACAGTCGTTTAAATGAAACCATGTGAGAAGTTTAGAGAGGAAATGTCTCATTGGTGGAACAGCTAACAAATCATTGACATGTGAAATGCGCCCTAACCAGACACTGCTTTTTTGGCGAGGGTGACAAACTAAAATGGTTGGTTTGATCTTTAACCATGTACTCTGTTTTATAAGTTTTACAGTCTTAGTTTTAGAGTTTTATAAGTTTTATAGTCGACATGGTTTTGTATGTCAGATATTTTTCTGATAAGTAACAGCACCTGTCAAATGTGGTGGAGTACAAATCAATAATTTCCCCTGAATTGTTGTGGAGTAGAAGTACAGACTGGCATGAAATGGAAAAGTATAGTACAAGTACCTAAAAATTGTACATATACTTGAGTAAATTTACGTAACTACGCTCCACCAGTGTGTCGAAAAAATTAATCCTTTAATAACATAAACTTGTTAAGGTGAAGACAGGCCTCTTCTGTATGAAACACTGATGCATTTGAACAGATATGAATAATATACATTCAAGAAGTCGTTCGTCATATCCTCACAATTGCGACCGGGACTGTACATTGCAGCACACAAGAGACAAACAATGACTCAGTAAGATCTGAGAATTAGATGTTCTGTATTTCTCACGCTCGTCCTTGTCCATGGACTCATTTTGCAACAGA